CTCTCTCTCTCTCTCTCTCTCTCTCTCTCTCTCTCTCTCTCTCTCTCTCTCTCTCTCTCTCTCTCTTTCTTCCTTTTCTCTCTCTCACGCACACTTTTTCGCTCTCTCTCGCGGGCACTCACTTGCTCTCGCTCGCTGTCTCTTTCCCTCTCTTCCCCCTATCTCTCTCTCTCTCTCTCTCTCTTGCGTGCATTTTGCCTCATGAACGCGCTCGCGCTCACACGTACACGCACACATACAGACGCATGCACGCACGCACAGGCGCACGCAACCAGATTACATCGTCGAGGTGTTCCATTTATATGTAAACTGTGATTCATGATGATGTTTATCTATGCGTTGTACGTGCTTAGGAATTCCATGCAGGTATACCATTTCATAGCTCTAGTAACTATAGCCCGCGTACGGTTGCCGCTGGCGTACGCGGGCTATAGTTACTAGCGCTAACCATTTCAGTACACTCTTTTGCTGTATAAATTACGCGCGCAGCAATTATGTTTTCTTGTAGTTTTAATTGGATATCGTGAATTACAATCAATTCGGTGGGCTTCGCTTCATGTAATCGACTATATATATATATATATATATATATGTCGTCGCGTTAGTTTTGTGGATTCCACGATGAATGCTATTTCATTTAATTTCGTTGTTGATATATGTTTACACAATTTGTGTAACTCAGATGATACTCACAATGATACTCAACCGGCAATAAGTGCACGATCGGTTAACATTCCAGTAGCCCATCTGCCGGAACTAGATTTTTCGTGACTGCTTGCGTGTGTTATTAGCAACTTAGCATATTCAAATTGTCGTTATGTGATTTCCTAGTTCTAACGTAGTTATAGTGTATTCATAACGTTTACCCAGACCGTCTCACGCGTAAGTTAACGAGCATTTTTCGACGCATCATTATACTATTAGCTCAGAACGCTTACAACTATTACTCAATTATTATTCCAAGTTGTAAAAAAATTCATGCTTTATTATGAAAATTGTGTAATTTTAGGGAGACACGAAAATCAAGGATTGCAGTTGAGTTTTACCCCTAACCCATTATCAGAAGTTTTCCAGCGATTTTAACTCAATTCGGTGGCAGTGTACAAAGAAACGATCTATATTCTTTTTGTTTTCGCTTTTCTATTCGGTACTAATATGCGCTTGATTGTGTTACACTTACAGTATAACGCGGAGCAAAATATAATAGTAAATGCGTTTTCATTATGAAACTAACCCCATGGCATTCGCGTATTATGTCTATGTTTTGATGGCTAGCACCTAATTCTCTTCCTCAACCTCTACCTTTACCCTCGTCTCAATGATGGCCCGGGGGCGAATGTTGCAAGAAACTGTTCAATGGTGCAATAATAGTGTTGTTCGTTTACATTATTATGATAACAGATCTGCGTGGTGTAGTAGTGCTGCATATATGCATAGTTGCAAGCATGCATCATGCAGTGCTGTATAAAAAGTACCCGGCTTTCAACATGCTGTCAAAGAAAGCCCGGTTGTTAGCGTACTAGCTTGTTCTTTGAGAGAACAAGTCTGGGCAGTGTTAAACGCGCTGTCATTACTCATTACGCGCAAACAACTGTTTAACGCAGAAGCGAACATAGTGTCACACAGTGTGTGAAGCATATATGCATATATATATATATATATATATATATATATATATATATATATATATATATAACTCTAGTCTTTCCTTGCTCTCTCTCGGCTCTCCGGTCTCTCTGCTCTCTGTCTCACACGACAACTCTCGTTCTCGTGACAATCTCCGTCTCGTCTCTTCCTCTGTCCCCTCTTCACACTCTCCTCTCTTCTTCATCTCTCTAATCTCGCCTCTCTCTTGTCTCTCTTCTCTGCTCTCTCTGCTCTCTCTCTCTCCTCTCTCTCTTCTCTCTCTCTCTCTCTCTCTCTCACG